TGGATATTCTGTCAATTCCTGAAACCTTGTTTTTGGCCAAGTCCTTCAGTGCAGCTTCAACTTCTTCCTTTAATACCATTGGCTCTTGATCATATTCCACCTCCTGAAATAGATGATCACTGACCAATTCTTTTCTGTACAGTGACTCTGTGTGTTCCTTCCATCTTCTTTTAATGCTTCCTGCACCATTCAATATCTTGCCCATAGAATCTTTCAATATTGCAACTTGAAGCTCTAATTTTTTTCTTCTATTCTTTCAGCTTGAGAAATGCCAAGTGTGTCTTCCCTTTTGGTTTTCTAACTCCAGGTCTTTATACATTTCATTATAGTAATTGACTTTGTCTTTTTGGGCTGCTCTTTGAAATCTTCCATTCAACTCTTTTATCTTGTCATTTCTTCCAGTTGCTTTAGCTACTATCTGTTCAAGAGCAAGTTTCAGAGTGACCTCTGACATCCATTTTGGTCTTTTCTTCACTTCCTGTCTTTTTAACAACCTTTTGCTTTCTTCATGGATGATGTTCTTGATGTCATTCCACAAATCATCTGATTTTCGGTCACTGGTGTTCAATGTGTCAAATCTATTCTTCAGATGGTCTCTAAATTCAGGAGGGATATAATCAATGTCATATTTTGGCTCTTCTGGACTTGTTTTAATTGTTTTCAGCTTCAACTTGAACTTGCAGACGAGCAATTGATTGTTCCTTAATTAGCTCCTGGCCTTGTTTTGGCTGAAGATATTGAGCTTCTTGATCACCTCTTTCCAGTTGTTGTCAACCTAATTCCTGCATATCCCATCTTGTGAGGTCCACATGCATAGCTGCCATTTGTGTTGTTGAAAATAGGTATTTGCAATGAGTAAGTTGTTGGTCTTGTAGACTTCTATCATGTGATCTCTGGTGTCATTTCTATCACCAAGGCCATATTTTCCAACTAGACATGCCCAAAGCCTGGGAGGAAAATCTGGGAAGGGAGTTAATTTGAGGAATAAGGACTTTGTAAAGCTTCAGCATATAACAGGGACTCTAGAAAATCAGATGAATGCCCAAGGCAGGATGCATGCTCAAAAAAGACTTGAGGAGACTTTTCACATTCTCCTGATCTTTAGGTGCAGTGTAAGTAGGAATTGAAGGGTTAGGCAGAGCTGTAAATAGACTGGCTAAATGTTGAAGGTGTGCACAGTCAAGAAATCAGACGTCATATCGTACTGGGCAAATCTGATGCAAAAGACCTCTATAAAGTAGTGAAGAGCAAAGATGTCTCTTTGAAGACTAAGGTGCACCTAGCCCAATCCATGGTGCTTTCAACAGCCTCATATACACATGAAAGCTGGACAATGAATAAGGAAGACCAAAGAACAGTTGATGCTTTTGAGTTATGGTGTTGGTCAAGAATAATGAAAGTATCATGGACTGCCAGAAGAACTAACAAATGTGTCCTGCAAGAAGTGCAGTGAGAATGCTCCTTGAAAGTGAGAGTGGCCAGACCTTGTCACCTATTTTGGTCATGTTGTCAGAAAGGAGCATTTCCTGGAGAAGGATATTATGCTTGGTAAAGTGGAGGGTCAGTGAAAAAGGGGAAGGCCCTCAATGAGATGGATGGATTCACACAGTGGCTGCAGCAATGGGCTCAGGTATAGCAAGGACTGTGAGGCTGGCACAGGACCAGGCAGTGTTTCGTTCTGTTGTACATGGGGTCAATATGAGTTGGAGCAGACTCCATGGCACCTAAAAACAACAGTTCATTTACATTTGTTAAAGAAGAAAAGTAACCAATTTCTTCCAAGAAATTTTATCTAGTTTAATAATACTATCCAGAATTAAAAATTTTATTTTCATAATCCTGTCTTTTGCATGCTTCATATGATTTTCTTAGAAAAATCAATTTAGAATAAATTTGTTTTGTTTCAAGCCCTTGTTACACCAATGAAAATAAATAATTTTTTTTCAGTGCACTTTTCTTCTTTTTTTTTAAAATTGTAATTTGGGTGAACATTTACAGTGCTGATTGGTTTTCATTCAACAATCCACACACATTCTGTTTTGTGACCTTTACTGCAATCTCTGCATTGTAACACCATTCTTTCCACTTCCATCTTACACCCATCCCTTCCCTTTGTCCTTTTTTCCCATCCCATCCTAGCTCTATCCAGGGCAAATACTATTGTCTTGATCTCATATGCTTGATTATTCTAATGAGTACACACTCTCCTGATATTACTGCTGATTTATAGGCCCATCTATAGTTTGGCTGGTAATTGAGTCATGGGGCTTAATTTCACTTCCCAGCTTAAAGGGTGTCTAAGGACCATGGTCTTGGGGGTCCCACCAGGCTTCATCAGACAAGTAAGCCTGGTCTTTTTTTTTCATCCTTTTGAGTTTTGAGGAGCTCTGGTGGCACAGTGCATAAGGCACTTGACTAACCAGAAGGTCGGTGGTTCAAACCCACCAGCCACTCCATGGAAGATTTACTGCCTCAGAAACTCAATGGGGTTGCTATGATTCAAAATCAACTCGTTGGCCATGAATTTTTTTTTTTTAATCCGATATCTCTTATTGTGATCTCTTTCAGAGTAGTTAGCAGTGGTAGCCAGGTACCATGTAGTCCTTCTGGTCTCAGGGTTGTGGAGGCTGGGGTTCATGTGCTCTATAAGTCCTTTGGACTAATTATTTCCTTGGGCTTTGATTTTCCTCACTCTTCTTTACTCTGCATGAGGAGAGACCAAGAGCTTCCAGTGCACTTTTCAAATGAACTAATTTGTATTAAATTTTCTTAGAGTAGCTACTGAATGCCTGGGAACTGTGGTAGCGTAGTGCCTAAGGCACCTGACTGCTAACCAGAAGGCTGGCGGTTCAAACCCACCAGCCACTCCTCGGAAGGAAGGTTTGGCAATCTACTTCCGTAGTGATACTGCCTCGGAAACCCAAGGAGGGGTCGCTATGAGTTGGGTCCTACTTGATGGCATATAACAACAAACAACAACAACACTGAAAGCCTAATTCATAAGATAGATGCAAAAAGCAGTTTTAGTTGGAGCTGAGGCTTAGAGCAACCTCATAGCTGCACAGAGAGGAAGATTGTTATGATTAGAGCAAGGACCTCTTCATAGAAAATTGTTTCTAAAAGGAGGTTCTGGAGAAGTGAAAGTACACCTATGAGGAAAAAATACCAGATAACAAGAATAGAGATACAGAGATCATGTGGTTAGCTGAGAGCAAAATTACTAAGTAGTTTAGCTCATTGGAGTTTACTGTTCAGTTGTTGCTTGCTACAATGCCCAGGACAAGATATAATGAGTGATGCAGAGGAAATAGGAGACATGGTCCTGCCCTCGCTGATGGGAAAGAGACAGTAACTCCTGCCAGAGACATCTCTAGGGTTCTGGGAAAGACATAAACTAACTGTATCACTTATTCTATTTCTCCTCCCTCCTCCTCTTTTCTCCTTCCCTCCATTCTTTCCCCACTTCAAATGTTTGAAAAGACATTCAAACAGCTACAAATTGAGTAATTGTTTTCAGCAATATACTGAAATGTAAAGAATTTTGAAGCATCAGTCTTAATAAACAGAGAGAAATTTGTTCTGGAAATGTTTATGGAAAAAGGATTAGTTTACAGAAGTTTTGGGAAGAAAAGAAAGAATGAGGAAAATATTGAACTTTTAGCAGGTGCAGGACCAATTTTTGGGCCATAAGGAATGGTTGTAAATCTCTGCAAAGAAGACAAGGAGGCCACATCTCCTGACCTCCTTTAACCCCACAAGAGAAAGACAGAGTCATTATCAGTAACCTAAGGCCTATTCCTGCAAGGCCAGACATGCTGCCTCCCTCCAGCCCTTTCACCAACCATTCCTCCCAAAGCACCCACCACCTCTCCCCTGGGTTTGATGATTGACTGTAGTGGACACACAGAACTCACAGATTATGGGGTTTATTAGGGAAGCACCAGGCTACAATTCAAGTTCAGGAAAAATGCTCAGTCTCTCTCCCAGCCCACCATGTCTCAGCCAACAGTCTCTCACAGTCTCTCTCCCAGCAGTGTGTGTCCCTCGATGTCTCACTCAGCAATGTGTGTCTCTTGTATCTTTTTCCCAGCAGCACATGTCTCTTTCAGGAGCATGTGTCTCTTTCAGCAGCATGTCTTCCTCAACGAGCAGTCAGAGAGAGACTTCTTCTGCCTCTAGGGGGCCTCCTTTTGAGCCTGGGCAGAGTGGCCAAACTAACCAATCATAACATCAGAATTCTATGCACTTGAGAGAGAGCAGGAACCTCCCAGAACATTGCTTTGTCTTGTGCCCGACAGAAATACCCCAGGTGGATAACTTTTACAATCAGGAGCTCCTCAGTTGCTCACAGCAAATTCCACCACAGAGTTTACAAAGATTTATGGCTAGAAAAGCCACACTAAGTGATTTACTACAGTACAGACCCTGTGACAGCCTTGCTTCATGTGGATCAAATATGCTAATCTCCAGCAGGCTGCATGTATACTAAGAACAGTAGCAATCAGGTTTAAGCAGATACCACTCCTGGGTTTGTCAAGAGGGAACTGGCTAGGATTTCCTCCTGCCCATCAGCTTCCTCAGGCCCCATTTCAGGTCATTGTTTCTCAGGCTATAGATAAAAGGGTTTAGCATGGAGGACAAAACTGTGTAGAATATTGTTGCCACTTGATCCCTAATGGTGTAGCTTGGCAGGGGCTGTAAGTACTCATAGAAGATGCTTCCATAAAAGAAGGCTACCACAGTGAGGTGAGAACCACAGGTGGAGAATGCTTTGCGTTTCCCTGAAGCTGAGGGAATTTTGATAACTGCAATGAGAATTCGAATATAAGAGAAAGAAATGAATAAAAAGGGGGTCACCAAAATAACCACTCCTTCTGTCTTTATTACAAGTTCATTGACAAATGTGGAGGTGCAAGACATTTTCAGCAAAGGGTTGATATCACAGAGAAAGTGGTGGATAATATTGGAATAGCAGAAGGTGAGACGATTTAGCAGAAGAATGTGCAGGAGGGAATGGAGGTGAGAGATGGAACAGGAGAAGGCCAGTAGCAGGGTACAACGACGGTGGCTCATGGTGGTGACATAATGGAAAGGATCACAGATAGCCACATAGCGGTCAATGGCCATGACTGCCAAGATGCAACTGTCAGTGGTGCCCCAAGCATAGAGAAAATACGTCTGTGTCAGACATCCAGCATAGGAGATGGCCTTCTTCTCAGACAAGAAGTTCACCAGCATCTTAGGAACTATAGTTGTTGAAAAGCAAATGTCAGTAAACGACAGGATGTTTAGGAAGAAATACATGGGGGTCTGGAGCTGGGGATCAGAGCAGATGGTCAGGATGATGAGCAGGTTCCCTGTTATAGTGACCAGGTACATGGTGAAGAAGAGGGCAAAGAGTGGTTTCTGGTCCTCAGGCCGTGAGGACAATCCCAGGAGGATGAACTCAGAGACACTGATGGTTTGGTTGACTCTTTCCATTGATGTGGGCCTAGTAATATAGAAGAAATGTTGATATTTAATACTCTTTGATTCCATAACCCAAATCATGAGAACCCAGCAAGTTTTTGTTTCCTCCATGTGGTCACAATTAACCCATGTGCAGGAAAAACTTCTCAACCTCATGGTCCTTGATGAGTTAGTTCTTCCTTTCTAAAATCCATGGGCATCATGAGGGCCTTGGGTTGAAAGTTGGTGCAACAGAAGAATTTTCCTTTAGAGACCATCAGAGGTAGAACTCTCTGATTCAGGTTCCCTGGTTCCTATTTTGTGAAATTCATAGTTCTCCTGTGGTAACATAACAATTCAGCAGAGAAATTCCCTGCCTTTGTGGAATTTACAGTAGAGTTAGAGAGATAGACCACAAACATAAAATATATAGTAGAGGATCAGGTAGGACTCAGTTTTATGAACAAAATAAAGCATACTGGGGGATGGAGATTCATGAGGACTGAGGAGGAGGTATTTTAGATAAGATTGCAGGGCACTTCTCTATCAAAGCAAATTCAGCCCAATCATACTGAAGTTTATCTGTCTTTGGGAAAATAAAATAACCCCAAAAAACAATAACAAGGGCTTGCAAAAACAAACAACAGCATGAACCTAAGAGGAATGTTGGATCCAGTTCATAAAGTGATTCTCCCATGCCCCTGGAGCACAGAATGGGAGGCTCATTTCCCTTAGCTCATGGCATGCTATCATTATCAATCTGCACAAGTTCCCCTCCTTTTTTTTCCAGTAAATTGTTTTCTCCTCTTGAATCTCCCATATTAGCTCACCTTTGTACAGAATGGTCACCCAATATTGAATATTCAATTTATGTTCTTCTAATTCATCTTACATATATTTATCCAAAAATATCTGTTATGTTAATATCTAGTGGATATTTATTTCAGTTACCTAGTATAGTGGGTTCAATAGTGTTCCTCCAAAATTCTTGTCCATTTAGAACCTCAGAAAATCATTTGGAAATAGGATCTTGGCAGATGTGATTAGCTAAGCATCTCAAGAGGACACCATCCTGCATTTAGGGTAGGCCCTAAACCTATTGACTAGTGTCCTTACAAGAAGAGGATATGACACAGAGAGAGACTTAGGAAGAAAGAAGGTCATGTAAAGATGGTGGCAAAGATTGGAATGATGCTGTTACAAGCCAAGGAATGCTGGGAGTCACCAAGAACTGGAAGAGGAAAGGAAGGTGTCTCAGTTATCTAGTGCTGCTATGACAGAAATACCACAAACGGGTGAATTTAGCAAACAAAAATTTATTTTCTCATAGTTTAGGAGGCTAGAAGTCCAAATTTAGAATGTCAGCTCTAAGAGAAGACTTCCTGTGTCTGCCGGCTCTGGAGGAAGGCCTTTGTCTCCTTGAGCTTCTGCTCCTGGGCTATCTTCACGTGGTGTGGCATCTCTCCTCCCTCATCTCTGCTTGCCCCTCTCTTGCTTGTTTAATCTCTTTCTATCTCAAAAGAGGTTGACTCAAGATCCACCGTACACCAATCCTGCCTCGTTAGCAAAAGTAGATTGCCCAACCTTCCTTCTGAGGAGTGGCTGGTGGGTTTGAACCGCCAGCCTTCTGGTTAGCAGCTACACTACCAGAGCGCCTAACACAGGCATAGAGACTAAGATTTACAACACATATTCTTTTGGACACAATTCAATCCATCACAGAGGGATTCTCCCTAGAGCCTTTGGAAGGAACTTGGCCCTGCTGATATCTTGATTTTGGAATTCTGGCCTCTAGAACTGTGAGAGAATAAATTCTTGTTGTTTTAAACCACCTACTTTATGATACATTTTATAACCAACCTAGGAAACTAATATACCTAGTTATGGACATCAAAGAGGCCTCCATTCCTTGCTACCCCAAAAAGCTCTGTAATGAGGATTCTTTTAACAGTATTTTAAATCAATTCCTTAGAGTCAGCGTATTTATTCATATCCTGTGAATGTACATACCACATAGAGAATTTCAAATATTTTAAGACACTAGTAATGTATGTATTCTTGGTTATCATAAAAATTTCTACAATGAAAATACTTATATCAGTAACGTATGTAAAGTAATTTCTTTAAAGTCAGCATATTCTTTCACACATTGTGAATGAGGCTTTTTCACTGGAATTTCCACACATTTTAAAACAATTTGTATATGAAATTACTATATCTTAGCTGTCATGAGGATTTAATGAAATAGTGCATATAAAGTACTTAGAAGAGAGACAGGCATATTGTGAGCACTCAGAAAGATTTGTTGATCACCATCATCTCCGTTGTCATATTTTCTTATCTACTCTTCTTGGATGTTCTCAAAATTAATTAATTCACATATTTTTAAAACTCATATCGCTTGTTGCCTAATTATCAGACTCATCTCATGAGTTTTCAAGGTTTTATAGAAGGAATATTTATTCATATGTAGAATGATTTTAGTGAATCAGTTATTAACATTAATAACAATACTAACAACCAAGATTCATTGAAAACCTACTCTGTTTAAGGCAATGCTAAGCATCTTACCAAATCCCATACATGTTTAGGAGGCATGTTATGGTATTGCCATTTTACATATCAGGAGTCTAAGGCTTAGAAAATGAATAGCAACCAGGATATGAACTTTGAGTGACTCACTCTGAAGCCCATGTTCTTAACACTTACCCCACACCTTAAGTTATGGTAAAGATATAATGATTTTTGTCCACCACAATCATGAGTAGACACTTCTTTTTGATATTATTTTTTTCTCCCTTGAATAACAAGCTGTTTTTCCCACACATTAGAAGTCAATTTTTATAGTTGAAGTCACCTATTCCTCTGTGTTGTGTGGACGGTGGAATTTGAAATTTTGAATATCCATGATTTACTGGCCATAATCAGGTAGAGGAAATTGGCCATGCATAGCTGGGGCATGTTTAGTGTGTGGAGTTGAGGTAAGGAGGTACATAATGTCCTGGACTTGAGGCAGAAGATGAGGAGATGATTGTCCTCCACTCCCTGCTCACAAGCTGATTCCTTGGTGCTTTATGAAGAGCAAGTGAGAGATCAGGTGTGAAAAAGAGTTTGTCAAACACAGATCGATATTCAAAAATAAGTTGATGGTGCCTTGGTAATGCAGAATACAAACAAAACAAAACAAAACAAAACAACAACAACAACAAAAATAGTAGTGGGGATTTGGATTAATTAAATGGGGTTAGATGTCCAAGTCACAAATGTGAAGGCATCTGTGCTGATGACTAGGAAAAAGGAAGTAAGTTTTGGCTATGAGAATCAGGGAAAATAGTTGTAAAAGTATAGGGTGAGTAAAAAGAACTTGGAAATAGAATAATTTCCTTCTCTACTGATGAGATTTGTTTCCTCCAAACCAATTTCTGGTCAAGAGGTCAAGTTGGATGGACCTAAAACCAAAAGCCCACACTACGTCCCCAAAGCTCCCAAAACCAAAAGCCTAATGGAGGTTTCAGTTGGACTCTAACTGAACTAGTAAACCAGTTGCCATCAAGCCAATTTCAAGCTACGGAGACTCCATGAGTTCAGAGTGGAATGTGCTCCAGAGGAGTTTCAATGGCTGTGATAGTTCAGAAGAAGATCACCAGGCCTTTTTTCTGAGGTGCCTCTGTGTGGATTGGGACTGCCCACCTTTTGGCTAATAGTAGGATGCTTGACCATTGGTGTCACCCAGGCCTAGGGACTCCCATTTGGACTCTTGGACCTCTTAATCCATGATCTTAAATCATGATTTAAAACTATCATGAAGGGAAGGGTAAATTGTCAAGTCAGATAGAAATGGCAGCTTACTGAAGCTCACCTCATATCCAGCAGCTTCTCATTCATTTCCAGTTTCTCCAGAATCTAATTTTTCTTCTGGATCACATCTGTTACTTAGTTCCAAGTCTATTTCTCAGTGATAGCTCCGTTTCCTGTGTTTTTCCCTTCAACTTCTGGATTGATCAGCAAGGAGAGGAGCAGGAAAGGAAGGAGGAATGAACACATTGTTCTAGAGAAACAACAAACTTCCCCGCTCTGGTCTCAAACCCCTGTCTCTTTTCTAAACTCTATCTCAGCATGATCTTATTTTTCCCATCTCTGCATCTCAGAAGGCAGAGATGCCCTGACTTACGTAGCAAGGACTCTCTTGGTTGTGGAAGCCCTCTCAGCTTCTTGGAGTTTTGAGTTCTGCTTTCCTGATCTCTGAGACTTTGCTGGGCTGAGGGAGTCATGTGCTGAACCCTCTGGGGTGTTTGTTCTGAGCTTATTAAGTGGAAAAAAAAAAAAAAAAAAGAATGGACATCACAGCTAGCAGAGTAAACTCCAAGGGAACACGGGCCCTCTGAGGCTTCTCATATAGCTGGGACTGTTATTAGAGCCTCTTAACCTCACTGCCACATCTCAAGGGCATTGTTCAGTTTCCTCAACAATGGGTCCATTCATCGTAAATGGATGAATGTTTATGTGGGTAAATGCTTCTATGTTTGGGGATTGACAAGTGGATAGAGGTATATTCTGGAATTAGGTAGGTCATAAATCAAAATGGAGGTGTGTGGTAGGTAAGGTTGTGTCAACTTGGCTGGCCTGGTTGAGTGGCTGGGCAGCTGGATGTAGTATTCCTCATGATGAGACTGGTAATCAGCTCCATGGTGGAATCTACCGGAGCAGCTGAGTAGCTGCCTTAGGGATGTGGTCTGCTTCCTGTATGTAAGAAGCTTTGGGGACGGTGTGCAGCTTTTGGCCCTCTTGAATCCTGCACGTAGCCGAGTTGCTGTTCAGCAGCCTGCCATATTGTCTGCCAATCCCGAGACTGTTCATGGACTTGAATTAGTGGCCCACCGTGTGGTTTGGTAATACTGGGACTGTATCTTTTTACTTGTTGACCTTGGGTTTGTCAACCTCAGAAGCCAGCAGCTGCCTGAGTGAAGAAAGCCTCTAGCTTCGGGAGCAAGAGGCAGAGCTGAAGCCCAAGGTCGAGGGGCTTTCACCCACCC